ATACATATTTAGGGTCTTTGTGAGCAGTTTATTTTTATGATTATTTTCATTTATTTCTAGATGAAGAATCTAAGGCACAGAGAGATTCATCCACCTTTCAATGGTAGACTAGAGTAGGAAATAGCATCCACAGAGAAGTAGTAGACTCAAGGTGGAGAATGAGGCATATACTTTTTTTGGGGGGGGATATTGTTGTTCAATGGGAGTAAAGAGAAGTGGGAGGGAAAAATTTGTTTCAGTTTAAGTGAAAAAGTTTTTTTAAAAATGGAAGGTAATGTCTGGGCTTGGACTCTTGGTTACTTGCTAGTGACATGTATATCTTCAACTCAATTTATTTTAACTAAGAAAACAGTAGTGACATAGATAATTAATAGCAGATAATTATAGAATAATTTATTCTGGAAGGTATTATATTTCTGCAGTAGAGTTGTGTTTTTAATCATGAACTGAAATTCCTATTTATATTTTCTAATTACATGTCACCCAGGAGGTAGCTTGAGAGTTGATTAAAGAGGAGGAATTTACAGATAGAAGAACTTTTAGTAAATGCCTCCAGTTACTGTGTTTAAGCATGGGAGGTAGAGAAGCCTTGGCAACTGTGATTGGATATGGAGAATGAGAGAGAGAGAAAAGTCAAGGATGACACTGAGGTTTCAGAGTTGGATGAAGAAGGAAGCTTGGAGAGAATGAGTCCTGTGTTTTTAGACATAGATTCCTATGGGATACCCAAGAGGAGAAATCTAGCAGGGTGTTGGCTCATGATTGGTGTTCAGAAGGGAATTTAGGCCTGGATATATAGATCTGGGTCACCTGCCTACAAATGATATTTCAACCTATTGGAGTTGGTGCAGTTGCCCAATATTAGAGTCCATGGGAGAAGAAGTTATATGATATGGCCCTGGGAAGCACTCATCCATCCTAAAGCTAAAACTTAGTCCATTAGTTGATTTTCTCCTACCACAGGCTCGAAGTTAACTCCTGTGCACAATGCTCTTTGCCTTGGCAGCCAGAACAAAGGCCAGTTTTAGCGTCTGCTGAGCTTACAGATTATGTTTTGTTGTCTGGCTCTGTTGTGTTTTGTTGTCTATGTGAATTCTAAGCCTGTGAGTGTATTATTGTTCTCTCATCGCAGCATGCATTATATAGGAAAGGCCTTGGGTTATTTCTGGTCATCTGAGAACCAGAGGAAAGATATTTATTTTATTTTTGTGGTAACCTTATCGTCTGGACCTAGGGCAAGTCACTTAACCCCATTGCCTAGCAAAATTAGAAAAGGAACAATGGGAGACAATGCAATCTAAAATTATCTAATTGTGAACCATGTAGGCAAGAATTTCAGGTTTCTGTTTAAGTATCCAAATAGATCTTTTAGTATTTCCACTGACAGACTGTAAGCTCTTTGAGGTCACCTTATACATTTTTCTCCACAGTAGTACCATCATAGATACTAAATTGTCTTTAAAATGATAAACTCAAGTAAGTTTATGAGAATAAAACCTAATTACTATTAAACTATGCCTACAATTACTATTAAAATATGCCTATAACAATGTCAGATAAATCAGTCAATAAATACCTATTAAGGGCCTACTGTGTACCACCTTTGTATGTGTCTACTGTAATAACCTCTGAGAACACAAAAGATGAAAATGAAATGAATGTTCTCTGCTTTGTAGGAGCTTACAATCTAATCTCTTTGTATGTATAATAGTATATACATAATATGTATACAATAGTAGTGGAGGGAGGTCAGGAAAGACATCATTTAAGAGGTAGCACTTTAGATACACTTGAAGGAAGCTGTGGATTCTAAGAAACAGAGGCAAGAAGGGAGGTCATTCCAGGTATGAGGGGCAGCCTGTGTAAAAGTATAGAGGTGGGAGATGAAATGTTAAGTGTGAGGAATAGCAAGCAGTCAGTTTGGCTGAACCAAAGAGTGCTTAAAGGGGATAATAAAAATAAGCCCAGAAAGGTTGTTGGAAGCAAGACTGCAAGGGGCTTTAAATGCCAAACAAATGAACTTGTATTTGATTCTTGATCTTAGAGGTGATAGGGAACTAGGTGGATTTATTGAACAGGGGAGTGACATGCTTGTTAGGAATATCATTTTGATTGCTGTGTGGAAGACATTTTGATGGATTGGAGAGAGGACAAAATTTGAGGTAGGTTAGTCAAAAGGCTTTTATAATAGTCCAGGTGAGGGATGAAGGCCTAATGCAGGGTGGTGACCATGTGACTGGGAGAAGAAAACACAAGAGAGAAATGCCGTGGAGGTAGAATTGGCAAGATTTGCCAACTAATTAGTTATGTGGGGTGCGGGATAATGAATCGTCTAGAATGACTCTCCAGTTGCAAACCTGGGTCACTGAAAGGATGGCAGTGGCCAACTAGAAATGGGGAAATTCACGAAAGGGATGCTTGTGGGGGAAAATAATTGGGTTATGTACAGGACTTGTTGACTTTGAGGTGCCTATGGATCACCTCATTTGAAGTATACATAGTGATTCGGGACTAAATTTCAGGAAGGAACCTAGGTCTAGATATATAGATCTGTGTGTTCTCTTCAGAGAAGTGACATTGAACCCATAGGAAGTCACTGAGAGAGAAGATGTAGAGGGAGAACAGGAGAAGGCCCAGGACAAAGCCTGGGGATACGTCTGCAGGGAGGGCCATAGAGATCATCTAGTCCAGGCCCATCTTTGTATGGTTGAGGAAATTGTACAGAGAGGTTAAATGACTTGCCCACAGTTACACAGATAGTAAGTAGCAGAGTTGAGATTTGAGCTCAGGTGGTATGACTTCAAGTTCAATGCTCTTTCTACTACAAATCACTGATTCCCTCAATTTATAACTCATTCTAACACTTTAGACCAGTGGTATCAAATTCAAATAAAAACATATCCCTGGAACTTGTAGAAAATCACAAATTAACATCATTTATGTTTTGTTAAACATTTCCTAGTTACATTTTAATCTAGTTTAGGCTGACTCCAGAGTGTTGTGGGAGGCTGACACCTCTGTTTTAGACTGCCGTAATTGCATAGCTACATTAATATAAACATACAATCTTTTTGTAAATTTATAGTCTAGTCATTATGTCTAATACCTCCAAGGGTTGTTTTGAAGATGAAATGAATGATATGTAAAGTTCTTTCCAAACCTTAAAATGATATATAAATGCTATTATTATTGTTGTTGTTGTTATTATTTTAATATATAAACCAATGAATCTCTTTAGTGAGATTATCTACAAAATGAGAGACTTAAGACTACATGATATCTTAAGCCCTTTCTGATTATAAAATTCTTTGGTTCTAAATGTGTTGATGGTCACTAATTGGACTTTTTAATAAAATGCATCTACTTCCTTTTGTTTATTCTCATAGAGGCAGATTCAGTGTTGAAAAATGGCTCATTTTGACAATAGCCTCAGCCTGGAAGATGCTTTAACTGAAACACCACCAGAAATTGAGGAAGAGATAAAACGGGACTTCATGAGCACACTGGAAGCAGAGACATTTGATGATGTGGTGGGAGAAACCGTGAGCAAAACAGATTACATTCCTCTCCTGGATGATGACGATGGGAAAACTGGAAGCCCAGAGTCAAAGAGCAAACCTCATTTGGATGGTGGTCAGGTTGAATGTAAGTTTTTTTAAGGCAAGCAGTCCTTTGTGCACCTCTAGCCTTTTGTGGTATGGTACCATGAAACACTGTTTTTTGATTATAATTATGGAGGCATTGATTAAATTGAACTTCTAAAAGTTTATTTAAGGGATTTTATTTCTCTGTGTCCAAGTTGACTTATCTCTATAACCAAAGGTATTTTCTTTTTTTGGAAACATTTTAACATAAAGAGCTCTCTTTCATTTATTCTGTGGAAGAGTAGGAACTTCTTATCTGTAGTGATTTGTAGTATGTAGAAGTAGATATACTCTTGGAGGGACCTTCAAACCAGACATTTTTCCTGGAGCAGACTAATGCTGAAATATTGTTTTAGACATGTAGCTTTAAAAAAAAAAAAGTCTCCTATCCCTTTTCTTGAAGCACAAGTCATATTATAAAATTTGAACCCTGAACTTCCATGCCTACAGAGAGATTCATTTTATTCTCGAATACAGATGTCATTTGTTGTTCGTTTTTGGAGTCCCTGAGTAGGATTAAAACAATGGATTATTAATGTCCCTTTAAGGAAGGTCTCTTGCCTACAAATATGCATCTTTGTTCTTTGTACCACAAATCTCCTTTCTTTGATGGAGAAACGCTTGGAACTTTAAAATGAAACCAGGCCCACGTAAATATTTTCTTCAAGAAAAGAAGTGTATTCTTCAGCAGGAAATACTGAGCAGTGCCTTTCTGAGTTTTGGGTGGAGTTGTCTGTGCTGTCACTGTTGTCAAAGTAGGAAGAAAAGGAAATGGAGCTTGCATTTCATTTAGTTTTGGTCGGCAGGGGCAGGGCTAGCCATTTTTATGACTCTACTGCATTCACCTTGACCTTCTAAGGTAGAGAGCAATTTCTTCTCTTTCAGTTTTGCAGGGGTCATGGTCTCCCACAAAGGCCCATAGCATCTATGAGGGGAACAGGATGCAGCCTTATGAAGGAATCTAGTGAGGCACATTAGTAGGTAAAGCTGTGTGGTCAGGGCATCTCAGGATTCTGGACTTGCCCTCATTTCCTTAGTCACCTGAGTTACCTCTCTCCTGGCTATTGGCCATTAAGGCCACGTGGTTCTTATAGGAAGAGCCGTTCCCCAAGACCTGTAAGGTCTTGCCTTTAGACAAGGCTCTAAGATGCTTCCCCATCTGAAGTTGTAAATGGCTGTAAAGGACAAGGCAGACAAATCTCTTAAGGGTTTCCCCTTCTCTAGTTCTAGGTGGCAGTAAAAGACAAGGCAGGCAAGCTTCTCCTTCTCCCAGCCAGCTTGGTGAAGTCACACGGGATTCTTCTTCCTCCCCTCAGCAACTAGCAGCAGTGCAAAGCCTGTCTTCCTCCAGTCAGCTCCCAGGGGAGAGGAACAGTGCAGGTGTTAAGTGCTTGCTTCCCTCGGTTCTGACTTTGGCTGCTTTTCCGTCAAAAATCTGTACTGGGCTGGGCTCTTTTCAAGCAGCAAGAGGCTGTCTTGGGTCCTGCTCTGCTCCTTCAGGCTTTGCTGGACTTGTCATCATCCTGTTTCTTCACCTGCCAGTTTCTCTGAGACTGTCTGCTTCTAGAGTTTCTATTTGACTTCAAAGCAGTCTCCTTCTGTGAGCTAACTCACCTTTGTCTTTGGGTGAGAAACCAAAAGTGACATTTCTGCTAGCTCTGCCACAAACAGCTGTCCCTCTTAGGGAACAAAAAGTGCTGGTTCTCAGGGTTTTTCAGGTATCCACTTCTAAGTTCTTTTAATAATCCTATTCAAATTATCTACTGAGAAACAAGACACTTTCTTTGCCTCGTGTAAGTATTTTTTCTCTGATTGCTGCTTTGTTTCTCTCAGGTCTTCTCAGCACTGACTGAATTTCTACCCAAGTACTTTTGTCCAAGGGTTTGTTTTCTCAAAGCTTCCCTTAGAATTTTCTAGGTTTCTTCCGATTTACCTCAGTTATAATGTATAAATAAAAAAGGATGCTTTTAAGTTGGCATTGAACCATTCCTAACTACTCTTTGGGTATAATCTTCCAACCACTTTCACATTCATCTACCTGAACTAAAACCTGTCCTATTATCTCTTGTCCAAAAATTGAGCCTAACAGGCTTCCTCAGATGCTTTGCTCATTAGATCTCAAACGAATCTTTAAAGGTCCAAGGGGAGTGAACCAGTGTACTTCCTGGGCCATCTCATCTATTTGGGGATTAGAGGCCATGGCAGTTATTGGCCCCTTTCTTGACTAAATTCTTGCTTTAAAATGAGAAGGTGGAGTAGGTGAAAGTGATAGTAGTTTTGAAGTGTCAGGAGTCCCCCAGCAAGTCCGTATTTGCTTCTTATACTAATGAGAACAATTTAGGGCTAAAAACTGTTTTTTTTTTTTTAGTTTTAACAATAAAACTTGAATGTTAATGAGTAGGAAGATGACATCAACACCTGCCATTCTAGGTAAGATTGAGTCAAAAATACTAGGTGCCAGCATGAACTTGTTATACTTTAGTGACCTAGCATTGAGGGTTGGAAAGGGAGTTTTGGTACTTACAAGAGGGAGGAAGTGTAGGAGTGGGGTTGGGGGGAAAAGGAAAGTTAACTCTGCTTGTCTGCTTGTTCTGAGCTTTATGTTCTGAGCTTTATGTCCTGAGGGGACTTAATCTTTGATCCAGACTAGAGTATTTTTACAGTCTTATTGTGCTGTTGGGTTTCTTATGAATGGGCTAAAAGGAAAGGGGGAATAATTGGAATGAATTATGCTTTGGTAAAATATGACATGCTGTTAAGGGAAAACTTGCTATTCCCTTGAATGTGCATAATTAAACTTGTAAATAACCATCTTTTGTATTTGGTAGCATTGCCTATTCCTCTTGCTTTGAGCCTTGGATGGATTTTTTTTTTAATAGCCTTGGGTGTGGCATGAAGAATTATATTTTCTTTTCTCCCCAGGACAAAATTTCTGTAAAGCATTTTAATTAGGAAGAAGGGATTCAACTTCAGGAAATTAATAGTAATCCAAACAGTTACTAATATCCCACTTTCCCTCGCCTCTCCCTGCTTTATAGCTGGCTAACCTTTCTAATAGGAATCATTAAAACAAAAGTGTCCACCAGAGGGTAGTGTTGATTCTGCTCTGATTGAATAAATTCAAAATGGTGCTCTCAAGCTAATACAAACATAATGCTGTAGTTTCCTTCCCCAGATGTCTCCAAAAGGAAACCTTTATCTCCTTGGGAAATTTAGAGCCGAGACCGCAGCACAAAGCCCTTCCTGTTAGCTCCCTGCCATCTTAGTTCACAATCTTTCTGAAAGCCTTTTTCTCTGTTTTCAGTGAAAACCAGATTTGAATCCCCTTCTGCCTCAGAGAGTGACACCAACAGGTATTTCTGTAATGCTTTGAGGTTTCCAAAGAGCTTGGTGTCCATTATTTCCTTTGAGCCTTACAGCCTATGAGGCGTGTACTGTAAGTTTAATTATCCTCATTTAATAAGGAAAGTGAGATAGAGAGAGATTATGGCTTATGTAAAGTCATACCTGTGGCAGCTGGGATTCAGGTTTTGGATTTGACTCCAAATCCAACACTGTTTATTACACAACATATTATCTCCCCAAGAATAAGTTCTGTTTTCAAAGCACATATGTTAATCTTAGGGCTCTGTGTTAATCTGAGGCTGCTTTGTTTTCATGAAAAAAGGGAATTCATCAGGAAAATCATTCAAATGGAAAGGTCATGAATATCTTTTGAGCGGGATCTTGCTGATAAATGTCCTTTATTTGGACTTAATCAGTCCAGTTGATAGAGCAGCTAGGTGGCTCAGTGAATAAGTAGAATATTATTGTGCTATAAGAATTGACAAGGAGAATGATTTCAGAAAAAACCTGGAAAGACTTAAACTGCTGCCAAGTGAAGTGAGCAGAACCAGGGGAAACAGTAACAGCAATTTTGTACAATGATCAACTGGTGAATGACTTAGCTATTCTCAGCAATACAGTGGTTCAAAGGACTCATGATAAAAAAATACTGTCCACCTCTAGAGAAAGAACTGGTGGAGTCTGATTGCAGATTGAAGCATCCTATTTTTCACTTTCTATATTTTTTCATTATCTTTTTCATTTTTGGTTTGTTTCTTCTTTCACAATATGATTAGTATGAAATTATATATATATAAATAATATTTTCCTTTTTGGTAAGGCAGTTGGGGTTAAATGACTTGACCAGGGTCACACAGCAAGTACGTGTCAAGTGTTTGGTCTGAGGCCGGATTTGAACTCAAATCCTCCAGACCTCAAGGCCGGAGCTCTATCCATTGCGCCACCTAGCTGCCCCTTCTCTAATTTTGTTTTTTTGCTTTTTCTAATGAAAATATATTTTACATGCTTACACATATATAACCTGTATCAAATTGCTTGCTCTGTTAGGGAGGTGGGAGAGAAGGTAGGGAGAGAGAAAATTTGGGACTCAAAAAAAAAAAAGTTAAAAACTGTCTTTACATGTAATTGGGGAAGAAATAAAATATTATTTAAAAAAAAAAAACAACATGGGGCAGCTAGGATAGAGCACTGGCCTTGAAGTCAGGAGGACCTGAGTTCAAATCTGGCCTCAGACCAAACACTTGACACTTACTAGCTGTGTGACCTTGGGCAAGTCACTTAACCCCAATTGCCTTACCAAAAAAAAAACCCCCAAAACACAAAAAACACAAAAGTTCATCCAAGCATGGGGATGATAACCTTTGCATTGGTACAGGAGATGGAATACCATCTATTCTGATTAGTAAATAGGTCCACTTAGCCGGAACATAGAGTACATGAAAGGACATGTTCCTTTCATGAAAGTTCAAGTACATCTGAAACATATGAAATAAAGGCTTAAGAATGATTGTGAAGGGCTTTAAGTCACAAGCTAAAGAGTTTGCATTTTTTTCTGGAGGCACTAGGGTGCCATTGAAGATTCTTGAGCAGGAGAATGACAGTGTGCTTCAGAAAGATTATTTTGGTAGCTTTGTGAAGGATAGAATGTAGAAGAGA